CTTTGTGTCACTTTATTTATACCCGGAAAATGTAAGGCATTCAGGTAATCGGGTATATAGCTCGCACGTTTAACTAGTATATAGCCTTCGCGTGTTTAACTTTTTGCCAGCGAGTTTAACGCCTCTGGGCAGGAGAGTGATCCTTTGGGGGAAGGGGAGAAGACAAGAAACCAGTCCTGACTAGTAATCACCCAGGTTGAAGATCTTGGCAAGATCTTGTAAGATCTTGCATGATCTTGGAAGATCATGGCAAGGTCTTGGCAAGACACTAATCTTGGCAAGATCTTGCCAAGATATTACCAATATCTTGCCAAGATTATTCAATATTGCCATACTTGCCAAAATCTTGCCAAGATTGTCTGAAATTCTTGTCAAGATCTTGCCAAGATCTTTCATGATTTTTCGTCATACATAATTCTTGCTGAGTTGTATTTTTCGACCTTCATAAGTATAGGTATAATGAACCTTGATCAAACCAATCGCATATATCACAACATTGCCAATACTCTATCATATCTTGCCATGATCTTGGAAGATCTTGTCAAGATCCCACCATGGTCCTTGCCAAGATCTTATCACAATCTTGCCAAGATTCTATCATAATCTTGCCATGATCTTGCACAATCTTGGCAAGATTCCACCATGATCTTACCAAGATCATATCAAAATCTTGCCAAGATCCTATTGTAATCTTGCCATGATCTTGGAGGATCTTGTCAAGATCCCACCATGATCTTGCCAAGATCCCACCATGATTCTTGCTAAGATCTTATCACAATCTTGCCAAGATTCTATCATAATCTTGCCATGATCTTGGACAACCTTGCCAAGATTCCACCATGATCTTGCCAAGATCTTGTCAAAATCTTGTCAATATCCTATCATGATCTTGCCATGATCTTGGAAGATCTTGTCAAGATCCCACGATGATCTTGCTAAGATCCCACCATGGTCCTTGCTAAGATCTTATCACAATCTTGCCAAGATTCTATCATAATCTTGCCATGATCTTGCACAATCTTGCCAAGATTCTATCATAATCTTGCCATGATCTTGCACAATCTTGCCAAGATTCTATCATAATCTTGCCATGATCTTGGACAATCTTGCCAAGATTCCACCATGATCTTGCCAAGATCTTATCAAAAATCTTGCCAAGATCCTACCATAATGTTGCCATGGTCTTGAAAATCTTGACAAGATCTCACCATGATCTTGCCAAGATCTCAGCATGATCTTGCCAATATCTTACCAAAATCTTGCCAAGATCTTATTGTAATCTTGCCATGATCTTGGAGGATCTTTTCAAGATCCCATCATGATCCTTGCTAAGATCTTATCACAATCTTGCCAAGATTCTATTATAATATTGCCATGGTCTTGGAAGATCTTGTCAAGATCTCACCATGATCCCAGCATGATCTTGCCAAGATCTTATCTATCTTGATCTTGGAATAAAGTAATCATGAAGTAAAGTATGAAACAACCTCCGAATAAAAGTTCCATCTTGAAACTCAATTCTTTAGAACAACATTATTAAGAACAGACAAGATTCCCTTTGTTTTCTCAAATATTGAGCAAGGTGGAACTTTCATTCGGACTTTATTTCAATCGCCATAGATATTGATAATATTTTACCAACATTATTGGTCTAATTTACTACATTTACTATGCAAACTAAACCGGGTAAAAGCTTGAGTATTATAATTTGGATGAACTAATTTATTACAATTTAATAAAGACCAACACTGAATTTATGGCAATATTGTACACTTTTACGTTAGTTTGATAAATTCAATCAAAGTTATATCCAGAGTATAGTATATTTCATGTAGAGCCTCTTCATTCTGTATTTGCCATGTATTCTTGCCACGAACTTGGTAAAATCTTGTAGGGTCATGGCAAGATCTGGCTGGATTTTGGTAAGATATTGAAGGAACATGGCAAGATCTCGCAGAATTTTTGGTAAGATCTTGGAGGATCATGGCAAGATCTTGCTGGATTTCGGTAAGATCTTGGAGGATCATGGCAAGATCTCGCAGGATTTTTGGCAAGATCATGGCAAGATCTTGCTGGATTTTGGTAAGATCTTGGAGGATCATGGCAAGGTCTTGCAGGATTTGTGGTAAGATCTTGGAGAATCATGGCAAGATCTTGCAGGATTTGTACCAAGATCATGCCAAGATGTTACATAAATCCTGCAAGATCATGGAAAGATCTTGCTTGATCTTGCAAGATCTTTCCAAGTTCTTGCAGGATCTTACCTAAGATCTTGCAGGATCTTGCAAGATCTTTCCATGTTCTTGCAGGATCTTACCTAAGATCTTGCAAGATCTTGCCATTATCATGGCAAGATCTTGCCATTATCATGGCAAGATCTTGCAGGATTTGTGCCAAGATCATGCCAAGATCTTACATAAATCCTGCAAGATCATGGAAAGATCTTGCATGATCTTGCAAGATCTTTCCAAGTTCTTGCAGGATCTTACCTAAGATCTTGCAGGATCTTGCAAGATCTTGCCATTATCATGGCAAGATCTTGTCATGATCATGGCAAGATCTTACAAGATGTTTGGCAAGATCTTGCAAGATCTTGCAAGATCCTGCAAGATCTTAGGTAAGATCCTGCAAGAACTTGGAAAGATCTTGCAAGATCATGCAAGATCTTTCCATGATCTTGCAGGATTTATGTAAGATCTTGGCATGATCTTGGTAAGATCTTGGGTAAGATCTTGTCAAGATCTTGCTGGGATCTTGGCAAGATTGTCAACCTGGGCAAGTACCGGTATTTGGAAAACTCGCATTCTTCTGCGCAGTATGTGGTGGTAGCACTACCTTAGTAACATCCTTTGGCTTGATTTTAGTTGTGTTCATTTGATTGGTATTATGTTGAAAGGTATGTGAAAACTCTGATAGTTGATGCGAGACGTTGGAAACAGGACGGAAGGGTTCTTTCTTCGTCTTTTTCCCCTGTACTTCGCGAAGTCGTTTCTCTTTTTGCCATTTCTTCAAGGCTTCTTTTAGCGGATCAACACGTTTTGTAGTGTTTGTAACTAGAAATATAATCATATTAGCTAAAGTGCAAATATGCATGCGAGTCTCTTGGATTTTTAGCAAATGGCAAATTGCGCAATGGTTGAAAAGAGATTACTGTACGTAACAAATTTGATGTATTCCATGTGCGTTTAAGGTCAGGCAATTGAAGGGCATGAAGTGCTTATTCTACATGCACCAGCTTGTACTGCTTACAGACCAGTACCAAGCCTTTACTCTCTCACGTGTGCGTCTGACAGCTTAATAAGCAAGCAACGTTTTTGATTCACGGACGCCAACCGGATCTCAATCGAGCAGTTTATATAATAGATTGCGACTGCATGAAGAATCGCCCATGCCGTAGCTCTGACCCTTCTCTGGCCCATGCCCTCTGGCCCATGCCTTAATAATTGATTGACAGAATATCTCGTTCGGGGCTTTCGGGCATTTTGTATTTTTGTGTTATGACATCGATCACTAGTTGTGAGCTATTCAAAAAGAAGAAAGTCTGATATTTCAGAAGTGATTCAACGAAATTAAATTAAATTTGGTACAGTTAGTAAGAGCACCCAAGCAAACATTTTGGAACGTTTACGTGGTTGTCATAGCAACACACTAGTTACCAGATCTGTCTCTTTTTAGTATTTTAGTAATGTCTGCCAAGGACACGTCTTTGGAACAAAAGTTTTATTTAATTAAATAGTTAATATTGACCACAGCACCTTTAAAAACGATAATAATACATGGAAATCACAATATTTCCTTAATTTCTTGTTTGTCAGAAGTGAAGATTTCAAGAAATAGGACAGAAAGAACTGATAACTAGTGTGTTGTTATGACAACCACATAATTCATAAATGTTCCAAAATGTTTGCAACCTGGTACCCAGGGGTTCTGCATGCAGAAGTACCAAATTTCATTTAATTTTGATGATTTACATTA